CATACTGCTAAAGCAACACTTGAGTGGTTTAAGGGGAAACATTTAAATGTCTTGGAATGGCCTAGTCAAAGCCCAGACCTCAATCCAATTGAGAATCTGTGGTTTGACTTAAAAGATTTCTGTACATCAGCGGAACCCATCCAACTTGAAGGAGCTGGAGCAGTTTTGCCTTGAAGAATGGGCAAAAATCCCAGTGGCTAGATGTGCCAAGCTTACAGAGACATACCCCAAGAGACTTGCATCTGTAATTGCTGCAAAAGGTGGCTTTACAAAGTATTGATTTTTTTGGGGGGGTGAATAGTTATGCACGCTCAAGTTCAGTTTTTTTGTCTTATTTCTTGTTTGTTTCACAATAAAACATATTTTGCATCTTCAAAGTGTTGGCATGCGGTGTAAATCAAATGATACAAACCCTCCAAAAATCAAATTTAATTCCAGGTTGTAAGGCAACAAAATAGGGAAAATGCCAAGGGGGGGTGAATACTTTCGCAAGCCACATCTGACTTGAAGTAATTATATTCATCAATGCCACAAAGCTGGCACATCGAGGAGCACCATATGAACTATTATTACTATCGGAGAGCGCACAGATTATTCTGCTTTTCTCTTATTGGAATTAGATCAGCACAAATAACACAACATGTAAAACAGAATATTGTGATTTTTGGTGGGTGAGTTACAAACGAAGATACAACTGGATGTGTAAGGTAGGTTTAATATAAATACTAGGTCAACTCCAGCAGACTGAGAAACACACTTAAGACTCATAACAAGGAAGCCATGCCTAAACGCAACTCTATCAACAGCCTTCTTGTCAATTTAACAGGTCAATGTTGCTGCTGTCAATTGTGAGCAGCACATTTACCACTGCATTCAATCTGAACCCCAGAATAAGCAGGACAGCATTACTCAGGTAACAAAAAGTTAGCAAAAACAGTACAGCACAACACTTTTAAAATGTGTTACTGAGTCTAGATGTTATCAAATCAGGAGAAGAACAAGTGAAGGAAGCAGCGTAGGGAAAATGGGTGAAGGTAGATAAGATGGAGAGTTCCAAAGTGTCCGAAGTTGAGGGACCATGGGGCATAAAAGGCAGTGTGGAATAAGGGGTAGCTAGAGGGATGGTTGGCCATGGAATAAACATCAAATTGGGTGCTGGTGTGCTTCTGCATCCCTTATAGGTTGTTGCCACAAATATCCAGCCCATGTCCAGTTATACGCGGGGTCTCAGCGTGTGTCCCTCGACATCATTCCGTCACAGTTGCAGCATTCAAATCGTGGTCAATTTGTGTCTGTGAATCACAAAATTAAAAACAATGAGTGATCACAGCATTTCCACCAATTGAGCCATACACAATAAAACTTAAGCATTGATGACAGCATTTTGTTGACAACATAGTGGTTTACACCATGTCTACTGTGTGTGAAAGATGGAAGAATCTTACCCCAGCTGTAGGTCCATTTGAGTGTGTGGTCACTTAGGCCTACACATCAACCAGTACTGGGACCATTGGAGACTTGGGATGCTTGCTCTCAAAGTGCTGCTTGAATGTCTTCAGGTCTGCATCTATAAAAGGTGAAAGACAAAATGGAGGAAGTTAATTTGTGGTTTAGATTGAATTCAAAGTGAACACAAATGATAAACTAAGCAATATGATGAAACACACTACTACACATATGAAAGACTGTACCACACAGGCTAGTACAATAGCCGACACATGGAGAGGAACCTAAAGGCACATACAGTACCAACCAACACCACTTTCCCGATAGACAGGGCAGGTGTGGACCAGTGCTGCCTTGGCTGTAGTCTTCTGGCCCGCAGCTGCTCCCTTCTTAGCAGCTGCCTTGGCATCAGTCAACAAGTTCCACTTCCACTTGAGAGTGGAGTATGCGTTATATATCAATACCCCCCCCCCCCCCAGATTGTACCCGTAGTGAATAATGAATTAAAAGGGTGGACATCTCCAGATCTGAGTGGCAGGAGTGTGTATAAGCTTTTGTTCCAGCCGAGCTCATGCCTAATTACAAATCATAGCCTATCGCCGTGAATTCGTCATGTTGATTATTTAAGTCAGGTGTTGGAGCTGGGCTGGGACAAAACCCTTCACACACTCCTTCTCTTCAGGACTTGCTGCAATGACTGAAACAGACCAAAGCAGGAGAATAGTGTTCCATGTCGAAACAGCTTGCCTAGTTGAGAGGTGATAAGACCCATTGGTTCTGGAATACAGAAGGTGCAAATAAAGTTAATAATTATACTTAAAAACAAACCAATTATTTAAAAACCCACCATAGCTTGGAGGACTAAATAAGGTTACATAACCTTGCCTACTAGTTATACTAATGATCTGCTGTCTAGAGGGAAAACAGCAAACAAATCAATGTCTCCCCGCAGTAAAGTAAGCACACTTGACAAAAGAGAGGATGCTAATCAGTCCATCTCTGAAACCTCTCAAAAAGCCAGACCAAAATAATACTGCTAGCTAGGGTAGCTACAAGTCAAGTAGTACCCACAGACACAAACAAACATGATCTAGAATGCTAGTTTACCCATGTAAGTTAGCTAGCTAGTTAAATAGCAAGCTAAACTGTTGGTTCATAAAAGCTAAACTCGTTTTTATGAATTTCTCATGCATTTAAATGGCTAGCCAAATAGACTGCTAATGTAGCCATCTAGCCAGGCTAATGTTTGTTAACTAGCTAACCATGAGCTAGCTAGCTAGATAACAGGTATTGTGTACATTCTTTACTTGCCCAATACAGTTCACAGACTTGTCCATTAAACACATTTTGCCAATTTAGCTAACATTAGATAGAATCTCTGGATAAACTTACTCTTGCCTCGATTCGGCAGTCTCGTCCAGATCATCATGGCCCTGGTAAGTGATGTGAAGCTTGAGACGGGCATTTGTAGTTCTGTATGATAGCCACATAAGCCGCTAATTAGCATTTCATTTTGGGGGGGTAAATACAGGCGAATATATTGATAAACGTCACCTTGTCAGAGAGAGATTTACACGGTTATCAAAACGTCACACCAGGGTAAGCCTACAGGAAACACAGCCCTTATTTGAAGTGTTTCTAAAATGGCAGAAAAATTGTAGAAAAAAGATTGGAACCATTTCTGTGTTTGACCGCCAGGTTTTATGGGTATTATGATTCATACTGTGGTACTCCATTCCTGGCAGGCTTATCAGATTCAATAGCAGCCTCAGAGGCTGATAAGTCAGGATGCTGCCTTGTAGACTGTCTGCAAAGAGCCTTACATATAAAAAAGCCTACAAGGCAGCATCCTGACATCAGCCTCTGAGGCTGCTATTGAATCTGATCAGCCTGTCAGGATTGGAGCTCACCCACTCTGTACATTTTATATTATCCATAAAACATGAAGTGTCCCTTACAATTATACACATATCAGTTATGCAACCTAACAACCAGCACGGGCTTCCCGAGTGGCGCAGCGGTCTAAGGCACTGTATCGCAGTGCCTGAGGCGTCACTACAGACCCGGGTTGAATCCCAGGCTGTCACAACCGGCCGTGACCGGGAGTCCCATAGGGCGGCGCACAATTGGCCCAACGTCGTCCGGTTAGGGGAAGGTTTCGCCAGGGGGGCTTTACTTGGCATATCGCGCTCTAGCGACTCCTTGTGGCGGGCCAGGCTCCTGCAGGCTGACTTTGGTTGTCAGTTGGACAGTGTTTCCTCCGACACATTGGTGCGGCTGGCTTCCGGGTTAAGCTGGCAGGTGTTAAGGAGCGCGGTTTGCCTCTCCCGAGCCTGTTGGGGAGTTGCAGCGATGAGACAACATCGCAATTGGATATCATGAAATTGGGGAGAAAAGGTAATAAAAATAAACTAACAACCAGCAAAGAAAACTAGATAGTTAGCTGTCTAGCTAACAAGACTGCCAAGTTAGCTGCATTGTTGCTTGCATGCGATTGGTTGTGGTCTTGGGGGTGGCATGTTGTCAGGCCTCATTCAGGGCTTAAATCCCCCACGAGCTCTTAGCGCAAGGTAATGGACATTTAGCTTGCTAACATTCTAACTTACAAACTGATAATGAGCTCCAAACACAAATGAAAGCATGAAATAATCAATAAAAACATATGCTGATCCACCATGGGCTCTTCCGCCTCAGCCATACCCTCAATCTATTATCAGTAAGTCTCAACAAAACAACTTTTGTTATGTCATGACCATGAGACAACCATCTCGTGATCGACAAAACAACTTTTGTTATGTAGTGATCATGAGATAAATAAATAGTGATCGACATAACGTGGGAATAATTTTTTCATCCATATGTCCTCTCTGGACCTCCGTAGGTTTGGGGTGGATTGTCCCTTTTAATTGCAAACAGACGACTCCATTCCAATCTGCCACAAGCCTCAGTAGCAGATAACAACCAGATAGCTCTGACTTTGCTGATAGCTATTTTGAGGAAAAGTGTATTTACTATGCATATGATGTGGTTGTCCCACCTAGCTGTCTTAAGATGAATGCCCTAACTGTAAGTCGCTCTGTATAAGAGCGTCTGTTAAATGACTAAAATGTAAATGTAAAATGTAATGTAAATGTAACCCGGAGTGAAATGTGTACATCTTCTACTGTGCTGTGTGCTGCTCTCGTTAGAGTACAAAATGTACTCCACCTGACTTTAGTCAACATGTAGCAAGCATAACACCTTTATCAAACATATCCTTTGGGACAGAACAAATATCTGTCAATCATTTACATTGCCCTATTTTAGGAATGGTAATGTACACATACACACCCCGCACACTGAGAATAACAGCTATGGTGGGAGGAAAAGGAACGAGTTACGCAACCAACCAGAGCTGGCATGAAACAACAAGCTATTAGTCACTCTTTATTTTTAAATTTTAGTCATTTAGCAGAGGCTCTTATCCAGAGCGACTTACAGTAGCAATTCGAGTTAAGTGTCTTGCTCAAGAGCGCATCGATTGTTTTTTCACCTAGTCGGCTCGGGGATTCGTTCCAGCGACCTTTCGGTTACTGACCCAACACTCTTAACCGCTAGGCTTCCTGCTGTGCATATGTCCAAAACCAGGAAACCTGCTGTACTTGTGCCTCTCTCTGTATGATTATGTAAGCCCCACCTCCTCATACTTCATTACCTCTTTTAGCCTCTCCACCTCCTGCATCAGAGAGCTGACCATGTCCTCCAACTTCCTCTTGGCTTCTCTCTCTTGCGCCAACTCCTACAAATACAGAAAGACACATCAATTTATGACCCAATGCAGCTGAGGGTAGTGAACTGTTTTAGAGCAGTGGTTCTCTAACGGTAGGTTGGGACCCACAGTTTGGTCACAGGAAATTGCACATTCCTACTATAAAACATTGTTTTGCTCCTCTAGGATCTTTTTACATGTACATTAGATTTTGGTAATTTAGTAGATGCTCTTATCCAGAGTGACTTACAGTCAGTGCATTTCACTAAGGTAGGTAAGACAACCACATTTCACAGTCATTGCAAGTGTGTATGACTGGGTGTACCATGGTGGCGTGGCTGGCCTCTCTCTGGGCCTCGGCCAGCATCTCCTCGGCCCCCTCCAGGGCGTCCTGCAGAACGTCCACCTGGAACAACACAGTCTCCCGCTGCAGCTCCAGCCCACGCAGCTCCTGCAACACATCGTCGTAGTTCGCCTGCAGGTCGAGCTGACAAACACAGGCATATCCGTGGGAAGATCCAATTAGTCATCATGCTCACAACAAACACAGGCATGGCAGTGGGCAGCTTCATCTAGTCACACTAACAACAATACTGGTTTAATGTTGTGACATGTAATTTCATATTCAACTGTTGGATATTGCTTCATGGAGATTACATTTTTTGATAGCTATTTCTGGTCTATGGTCCTCCTTTTCTGTCATACCAGGTTTTCTTTGTATGGCAACACGTTGCTGGCATGACAACACATAATTGCACTGGAGCAAAATTATTTATTCCTGGGTTATTTTGTGTGAGTTTCATAAAGAGTATGCACCATCTGAATATGCAGCACATGCTGTTAGAATGTCTAATTTCACATCCAGTAGAACTGGTTATACTGCTCAAATATGAGAAAAGGTATTCTGCAAAACATCCTCATTAAAAAGGCTTGTGCAGATAATCACCCTCTCAGGGAGTTCCATCATCAGTTCCTGATCCTCCTCAGACTGCTGGAGTGAACAAGACAAAGAGAAAGGTCAACAACACTCAAACAAGTAATATAATAAGAAGTTCTAGCATACTCTAAGTATGTTTCATAGCACTGATAGAATCAGAGGTAATCATGTTTAAATGTCAGATCACTGTAGGTCTACATCCCAAACCACACCCTATTCCCTATATAATACAATACTTTTGACCAGAGCCCTATGGGGAATAGGATGCCATTTGGGACACAACCTAAATATACCAGTAGCTTCATCCATTACTCTTATTATACCTGACTCCCACTTCTCCTCTTGAGGGTCCCCCCTCTGCTGTCACTGCGTGTCAGACGCCTGGCCGAACTCTCCTTCTGACAAAAGAATAAAAGACATGTCAGACATGTCAGACAGACCCAAAATACTGTCTACAAAACCATGTGGGAATAACTGTTAGCACACTTTTTACATTGTTCCCACATCCCAGTCAGCTGGTATACACAGAGTGTACCTAACATTATGAAAACTTTCCTAATATTGAGTTGCACCCCCTTTTGCCTTCAGAACAGCCTCAATTTGTCAGGGCATGGACTCTACAAGGTGTCGAAAGCCTTCCACAGGGATGCTAGCCAGGGTTTCCGTTAGCCAGTAAATGGCTTTTGGAGGATTTTTTTTTTTTTTTACAAGCCAATAAAATTGTTGTCGGCCAAATTGTCCAGGAGAAAAAGAAAAACCATTGCAAAATAACGCTTTTTATTCATTGATGGAAATACAAGTCGATGAGCTCCAACTTCAAAGGCAAATATACTTAATAGGATAATAAATCCTCAAGCTGTTTGGAAATTAGTGTCGGGTGTGTTTCTATTTTTACTCACGTTAAAGACGCAAGGTCCTCATAAGGGACTTCAGCTAAGTGTACCCTAACAGGGCAAAATTGACGAAGATTACGTGATTATCCCTGTTTCTAGTGTGCCCGCCGAAAGGGGATTCTTTCTCCAAAACAGAGTAAGGACGGCCTCGAGGACAAAGTAACGAGGCTGATGCGCATAGTAAGCTGATCCAAGGAGTTGGGACAGTTTTGACTTCACGACAGCTCACTTTGAGCAGGCTAAGGTCCGCCTCAAACGTAAGTAAATTAGAGGCAAATTATTGTGTTCGTCAGGCCCAGTCCTAGCAGTTCTGCTGCCGCCCTAGGCAACATCAACATATGCCGCCCATGTGTCATGTATAGTATAAAGATATGGAATGAATTGATAGACTACAGTAATTATGTGTATCATGCACAATTGGTGCATTTCAGTTGAGGTTATTCAGTAGCACTTGCAAACGAAACATCGTTGCCAACTATTCACATCGGACAGTTACAATGTTGCAATCACTAGGCAGCCAACTGCCTATAGTAGGAAACGGAGTTGTTATCAATAAGCCATGTATATCACACGACACGTGTCACGTGCTTTCATAAATCCATGGCGCAGCCCTGGTTTCACAGGAGCATTGTAAAATAAGCTCTCTCAATTAACCAACCAAATTTCATTTATTTACATATCGAATTTGATTGTCCAACATCAGTTTTATAATTTCTACATTTTGTGGCCACCAAAGAGTGTCCTCTTTCCACTGCTGTGGTGCTGAATCGCAGCGGGAATGGCGAGTGGTGCGAGCCGGCCCGGTCATGGCTAGAAGGGACCCAACTTTTGTCAAATGAACGTCAAGTTACGTCTTCTGTGATGATCAATCTAATGAGTGGCCTTCCCACTGCTATTGAATATTACCTACATGTTTTCACAAAACGTACATACATTTAAGGGAAAGGCTTGATAATGATGGTTTTTGTGTTGTGCCCACAATCGGTTGAGACAGGGTGGGTGTCATGGTTTGGCTGATAAATCTACTAAAATGGGAATACAATTGATATTTTAACTTTCAAATGGTACCGCAAAGATGAGACGGTTGACTTGAATGGGAACATCTGTTTTAAATTATACTGTTATTCCTCCATAGGAAACCTAATGAAATCATAGAAATATAGACAATAGAATAGACATGAGCATTTAAGTTGACATTCAATGGTGGGTGGACCGATGGTCATCTTTGTGGTAGTAATTAGAAGTTACAATTTCAATTCAATGTCAATGGTTTACTAGCTAAATTGCAGTGAGTGGTCTGAAGGGATAGGTCCATTCTATGATTTATATATTTATGATTGAAAAGTCACCCACCCTGTATTCAAGAGCATGTTGTGTCTCAATTGATGGCAAGCACAGCAACCTCAGATGATGTGAAATAGGGTCTAAGCTACAAAATACACTACCGTTCAAAAGTTTGGGGTCACTTAGAAATGTCCTTGTTTTCGAAAGAAAAGCAATTTTGTTGTCCATTAAAATGATCAGAAAAACAGTGTAGACATTGTTAATGTTGTAAATAGCTATTGTAGCTGGAAACGGCTGATTTTTAATGGAATATCTACATAGGCGTACAGAGGCCCATTATTAGCAACCATCAGTCCTGTGTTCCAATGGCACGTTGTGTTTGCTAATCCAAGTTTATCATTTTAAAAGGCTAATTGATCATTAGAAAACCCTTTTGCAATTATGTTAGCACAACTGAAAACTGTGCTGATTAAAGAAGCAATAAAACTTCTTGAGACTAGTTGAGTATCTGGAGCATCAGCAATTGTAGGTTCGATTACAGGCACAAAATGGCCAGAAACAAATAACTTTCTTCTGAAACTTGTCAGTCTATTCTTGTTCTGAGAAATGAAGGCTATTCCATGCGAGAAATTGCCAAGAAACTGAAGATCTCGTACAACACTGTGTACTACTCCCTTCACAGAACAGTGCAAACTGGCTCTAACCAGAATAGAAAGAGGAGTGGGAGGCCCCGGTGCACAACTGAGCAAGAGGACAAATACATTAGTGTCTAGTTTGAGAAACAGATGCCTCACAGGTCCTCAACTGGCAGCATAATTAAATAGTACCCTCAAAACACCAGTCTCAATGTCAACAGTGAAGAGGCGACTCCGGGATGCTGACTTTCTAGGCAGCGTTGCAAAGAAAAAGCTATATCTCAGACTGGCCAATAAAAAGAAAAGATTAAGATGGGCAAAAGAACAGACACTGGACTTGGCAATTTCTCGCATGGAATAGCCTTCATTTCTCAGAACAAGAGTAGACTGACGAGTTTCAGAAGAAAGTTATTTGTTTCTGGCTATTTAGAGCCTGTAATCGAACCCACAATTGCTGATGCTCCAGATACTCAACTAGTCTCAAGAAGGCCAGTTTTATTGCTTCTTTAAAATCAGCACACCAGTTTTCAGCTGTGCTAACATAATTGCAAAAGGGTTTTCTAATGATCAATTAGCCTTTTAAAATGATAAACTTGGATTAGCAAACACAACGTGCCATTGGAACACAGGACTGATGGTTGCTGATAATGGGCCTCTGTAGATATTCCATTAAAAATCAGCTGTTTCCAGCTTACTATAGCCATTTACAACATTAACAATGTCTACACTGTATTTCTGATGAATTTGATGTTATTTTAATGGACTAAAAAATTGCTTTTCTTTCGAAAACAAGGACATTTCTAAGTGACCCCAAACTTTTGAACGGTAGTGTATGTGAATATGAAAACAATCAGAAATCCGTTTTTAGATAACTGACTTTAAAGGTTTAAAAATTCAATTTTTTCAATAAATAATTCAATAGTTTGAAAACAATGATATCAAACTCAACCATTTACATTTCCCAGTGATGAAGAAATGGATGTCTCATGGTATGGTGGCGTATGCAAAATGGGTCAACTTTGAGCACCTTTATTTCCTGAATGTTTTGTCATTCAGGTCCAAAAAGTCACTTTCTGACTACTTCTTCCATGGGCAAACATGTATGGAAGGTTTTGTTGAAATCAAAAGGAATGCTGTCAAAAAGAGATTGAATTAAAATGGATTTAGGCCTTCCCTTAGGCTACATATCAACACAACTTTGCAAACATCTAGGTCCAGTTCTTATGGACTGTAAGTCTACAGTACTCTACCAATGATGAAAAATAATTAGATAAATTTATGAACCACTGATGACTGAATTCTAACTACATTAGTCAAGCAATGTGTCATCCCTATTCTAACGAAGTAGCCATACCTTTTTTACTTGTGCCCTAATGGGAGACACTAGACAGATTAGAAGCTTCTTCTTCTTCTGTGGGTTTTATGGCGGACTACATCCCAAAATTGTCACAGATTAGAAGCCTGTTTTATCTGGTGTTTTAAGTAGCTAGCTAAACGTAAAGCCTTTGAAGGCAATTCAGTTGTGCGTAGGCTGGCTACAATGTAATACTGTTCGAAAGGAAGTCATTGTAACAATGTTACCGTTTTCCCTCAGTGAAATTGAGACAATGTAACACCGCATGCTACAGTAACATTGGAGTGAGAGTCTAAATGAAAATGAGTAGGCTACAAAACAGTAAAAAACAAAGTAAACACCTTAAAAATATAAACACATGCAGTGGCTTACTGTAAAGCTTGAGGATGAATCTTCTCGACTGTAACCACTGTAGCCTAGTAATGTCAAATTAGACTCTATAAAAATAGATAATAGCCTACAGATAATAGACTGCATGACTCTTGTAAATGTCGCAATACGATTGCGACGTGATTGCTCGACGCTCACCTCCTTGATAATGTTGCGAAGTGACTCATCTTCACTCACTCCGCGAGAAAGCTTCCTTCTTCTCGGTGACCCGTCTCTTTCCAAAGTCCCGGAATGCATTTTTCTAGTAACCTACGATACACAAAAAATATAAATCCTGTTCTTAAGAACTAGATGATATGAGTACTGTAGTCAACGAGTAATGTTTTGTTTTGTGCGGATGAAGGGATCGCGACAGAATGAACTGACGCCCAGATTGTGGGCGGAACGTTTTATTCCATGGGTTGCCTCCCAATGACGTATATAAACCATGGATTGCTATAGCTACACTATGTTTTGGCCATGGAGTGGTTTTGAAACCACCGGTCGCCCATATTGGCACTCCTCAGAAAAGCAGTCTATTTTTATGTTTAGCTCATGTATAAGTATGCATTAAGGTGTCTGTAATAGAATAAACATGGCAAAAACAAATGTAGACATTACTAAATGAATTTATATAGCTTCCAAAATATGTTTTATAACGGTGGGGGAGTGCCAAGATGGAGGTGGAATATATTAAGAGTAAATATGGATTGCTGCAGAAGGAAATTAATTGAACATGAAGAGAGTGAGGATGAATTAACTGTGGTGGCAGGTGCGGTGAAGAATGCAGAGTTTGAGCCTTGTCCCGATGGTGATAAAGATGTTTTTTTGCCCAGTGGGAGTGAGATTTTTGGAGAGAATGGATGCTTGCCTTCTGGCTGATCCATATGTTGTGTCAGGTTGGGGTGGAGAAGAGGTTGGGGAATGTTGGGTTGGTGAAAGTGACTCGAAGTGGAATCGTGTTGTTTTTTTGCATTTCTGTCGTCCAGAGGGAGTGTGCGCTCCGCACCATGCAACTGGGGACAAGAACTGTGACTTGCTTTCCTCTCCGGAGCAGGGTGTTGTTGAAAGGAGTGATAACTGGAGTGGCGTTAAGTGTTGAGAAGGGTCAACTGAAGTTGAAGATTCCCGGTGTCTGTGACGCCTGCCGTTTGGTGCGACGCAGACCCGGTGGAGAGTATGGTGAAACAGAGAAGTTACTGTCGGTACTATTGAGTTTTGATGCAGAGTTTTTACCAGATAAAGTCAAGTTAGGATGTGTCAGTTATCCCGTGAGAGCTTTTGTCCCGAACCCATTACAGTGTTTTAGGTGTCAAGCTTATGGTCATGTGGTAGCAGTGTGTAGGAGAGAGGACATGAGAAAAAGGAATGTGTAGTATCGGTGGAAAAAGTTGTGTGTGTAAACTGAAGGGGTACCCATGGTGCTGGGGATCAGAGGTGTCCGGTGAGAGAAAGGCAGGTTGAGGTTGCCTGGATCAGAGCAGTGAAGAGAGTAGTAGAGGAAGATGGGTCCAGGGTGAGAGATCCTAAGAAGATCCCTGTGAGTAGGCCGAGGTCAATAGAGAGTGATAGGAATAACATGTGCTTCAGTAAGGTTGGCTTTTTGGCGTTCATGGCCATGGTTGTCAACTGTACTGCAGCAATGGAATGTAAATCACAGAGGATAGATTTTGTGGTGGCAGCTGCAGAGAAGGTGTTTTGAACAATAGTGTCCCGTCCTCCCAGGCTGCTGGCCTGGTGCAGGATCAGACAGGGCCAAAGTAGTGGAATAGTAATGAGGTTTTAATGGGTGTAGGGTTAGTTGGTAGGGCACTTTTTTCACAAAATGTAATGAATTCATACCACAGAATAGTAGGCTGATACACAGCCAATACAGTAGGTGGCGGCATGCACCTATAACATTTGTTTGCGGACCGCCATAATACCCAAAAAAAAAAAGAAGAAGAAGAAGAAGAAGAAGCATCTAAACGTGAATAGATCAGTGGCAAATTTAGCATGTCAATCTTGGTGTGGCAAACAAAACAAAAACTTTTTTTGATGCATGCCAGCAAACCCACTACACAACACTAAACAATACATTAATTGCACTATAACAGTGACAAACGGTGTCCACACACTTTAAGGGACTACATAAAGCTGTCCCATCAGCAGTCCCAACAGCAGTCCCAACACCTTACCACTGCTACACCTGGCTATCAGCGGAGCCTTGTCTGGCAGCGAAACAGTTAATTCAGCCTAATTTACTGCCTTTAAAAAAAACATAGCTGATATGGCTGACTTGCTTAAACAAATGTGGTTTCTACTGACAATTGAGATGTACAAACTATGGCATAAGGAGACGACAAGCGGATAAGAGGCAATCCGTAATTTCGATTAAGACATTAATGAGCGAGCTTGGACAGACGTAGTCAATATAACTATTTGTTCAGCGACAGAATTCAGAAAATGGGCCGTTCTTACAGTATTCTCCCTGTACACCAAGTCAGAAACGTAGGATAAATAAAGGGGGCATATAAGCAGACAATGAAAGCTCCTACAAAATTCAATGATTACATTTCTCTAAAACAGGCTATAGGCTACATGTGCACCACCAAGTCAGAACAGTAGGCAAAATTATGAGGGGAAACGGGACCAAATTATTAGGGTGAGGCACATGGGCTACTAACATCTTACTACACAACATACACTTAGTATTACTTTCTTAGCTACAGTATACATATCTCCCTGGCATATTACATAATTTATGCAACAGCATACAATAAATTTTTGGACACACCTTGTTGTGCTGTGCTCACTTGAACAGGAAGGCGGTGTTGCGGTCCTTCGTGGGCAAATTTTGTCATCAAACTTTGTCATCAAAGTGTGGCATTCTCTGGATTTATGGTGCTTTCAAGACAACTGGGAACTCTGAAAAAAACAAGGTTGAATTATGATGACGTCAGTGATCTTCAGGTCGGAGATCTAGAAAGAGGCCCAAGTTCCCAACTTGCAATTCCGAGTTGGATGACCGTTCAAAACGTATTTTCTCAGTTGGAGTTCGTAGTTGTCTAGAACCCACTGAAATCAGATTTCCCAGTTCTGAGTTTCCAGTTGTTTTGAGCGCGGCAGAAGTCATGCTGGATTGACACCATGGCCAATGTTGAATGTTTATCCTTTTAAGCTTGGAAAAGAGACCCTTAAACCCAGACTTGGGATCACACACCCACTCCACTGAATAGCAGGCTAGTGATTGCTTTGCAATGCTTGCAGTTAGCCACTGATTCCTTCCAAACCACTCATTGTTGAATTTGCGATTTCCAACTTGTTGTGTAATGTTTATGTCCAATGGCCAACGTGCACCGATACGTTTTATCTATAATTTCTCTTAATAATTTCTCTTCATATGACAAGGATTAAAAAGGATTTGCCAGTAGATTGTCGACTTGATTCATGATGATGACTGCTAGCTTGCTAGCTAAGATTTTGAAAGTATGATGTTGTAGATATAACTTGATTTGATGTAATTTTATTTGTGGCCAATGACCTTGAGCCTTCTTGGATGGGCACTTCTAACATAACTCTATGGCAGCACCCAAGGCGCTTGAATTACCCTTAGATTTGGCGGTGACGTAGTGTCCCCATGAGTGACAGAACACAGCCAATCACAGCGCAACTAGTGAACATTACCAACCCCTACGCTCCGTATCTTCCGCTGGCTGCCCCACCACCACAGAAAGCATTGAGCTAGGCTGAAAACCTGCATTTTGGAGCTGCCTTATTCAAGAAAGCAAAAAAGAGACCAAGTTTGTATGCAGCTTATTCACTCAATTATTTTTTTTACATTGTTTGCAAACTGATATGCAAAACAGGCATCCCCCCCCAAAAAAAATTATAATATTTTTTAATTATTGTTATTATTTTTGCTAGAAGGGTGGGGGCTCCACCTGCCCTGAATGGGGCCCCACCTGCCCTGAATGACGGGTCACCACTGGAATCGATTCTCCATAGCAGTCACACTTACTGTACACTGTTTTAACTGGTTTTAACACAGTTGCAGCTGACAGTATTTTTCAGTTTGTGGCATCTGTCTTCCATTTACACACAGGTGTTCGGAGACGCAGATAGCTATTAGCCCAGGTAGTCCACTCCGTCTTCTGTCTATTTTCTGTAAACAAGCGCTGTAACATGGAAATATGGCAGTGTGGGAACCCTAACCCTATAAAGGTGTGTATCAAATTAACCTTTTGTTGTAAAACAAATATTTATTGCCGATATGACAGATAAGGACCTTACGCTTCCAAAACCGTACCGCAAGCGATGTGCGTTAATGTTCAGACCGAGCTTTGCATTTCTTAACAAAACTACCCCCTACAGAAGACACCTTCATGCAATGACTCTTATGTGTAATGTAATGGAACTGAGAGTCATGATCAAGGGCTAGGCTTAGGCCAACTGTGGTTCCACGGAGAGCGGACCTGTAAAGCTGTTAAGGTCCATACCTCTTGAGGTCATAGTATCATAACACTATGAGTACATAGTACTAATGAGGTTGCACTATTTCCCCTTGGAACAGCCAAAGCAGAGCTTATCGACACTGTGGTTCCAGTGTCCATACCTCTTAAGGTCAGTACAGGTACTATGAGCTCATATGCTCACATTCAAGGAGGTTGCACTAATGCCCTCTCTCAAGAAGCAGCAAACCCAATTAGAATATGGGCACACTTCCAACACAGGCTAGAGAGACCACAGTTATTATCCCATCGTTGCCACCAATGCAGCAATCAAGGGGAAACAGCTGGTCTGCGTCCCAAAGGGCACCCTATTCCCTATGTAGTGCACTACTTTTTCCCACACGGGAAACTGTTGAGTGTGAAAAACCCAGCAGCATTGCAGTTGACACAAACCAGTGCGCCTGGCACCTACTATCATACCCCATTCAAAGGCACTTAAATATTTTGTCTTGTCCATTCACCCTCACAATGGCGCACATACACAATCCATGTCTCAATTGTCTCGAGACTTAAAAATACTTATTTAACCTGTCTCCTCCCTTTCATCTACACTGATTGAAGTGGATTCAAGCCTCGAGACAGTTGAGACTTGGATTGAGAATGTGTGCCATTCAGAGTGTGAATGGGCAAGGCAAAATACTTAAGTGCCTTTGAATGGGGTATGGTAGTAGGTGCCAGGCGCACTGGTTTGTGTCAATAAGGGATCATAGCTTTCACCTGGATTCACCTGGTCAGTCTATGTCATGGAAAGAGCAGGTGTTCTTTATCTTTTGTACACTCAGTGTAGTTCACCTGTGCCAATTTTTGTGGAAGTCTGACATACAGTGGCTCACAGACTCCTTTACTACTTTCACATGCAAACCAATAAATACATTTGGACATTACCAGAGACCGTTTTGAGGAAAATAAT